TAACAGGAAGGGATTCTACAGGTACATAGCAAATAAAAAACAGACTAGGGAGAATGTAGGCCCCCTCAAGAAGCTCTCGGGAGAACTGGCTACACAGGATTTGGAGGAGGCTGAGGTTCTGAATGACTTCTTTGCCTCGGTCTTCACTGGCAAAGGCTCTGACAAAACCACCCAAGTCTTGGAAGGCAGATGCAGGGACTGTGAGAATGAAGACCTTGGGCCCACTGTAGGAGAGGATCTGGTTCAAAACCATCTTAAAAATCTGAATGTGCACAAGTCCATGGGTCCTGATGAGATCCATCCGCGGGTCCTGAAGGAGCTGGTGAATGAAGTTGTGAAGCCACTGGCCGTCATATTTGAGAAATCATGGCAGTCAGGTGAAGTTCCCGATGACTGGAAAAAGGGAAATATAACCCCCATTTTCAAGAAGGGGAAAATGGATGACCCAGGGAATTATAGACCAGTCAGTCTCACCTCTGTGCCTGGCAAAATCTTGGAGCAGATTCTCCTGGATGGCATGCTAAGGCACACGAAAATCAACAAGGTGCTTGGTGACAGCCAGCATGGCTTCACTAAGGGGAAATCCTGCCTGACCAATTTGGTGGCCTTCTATGATGGGGCTACAGAACTGATGGACAGGGGTAGAGCAGTTGATGTCATCTACCTGGACTTGTGTAAAGTGTTCAACACTGTCCCACACAACATCCTTGTCTCTAAGTTGGAGAGACATCAATTTGATAGGTGGACCACTCGGTGGATAAAGAACTGGCTGCATGGCTGCACACAAAGAGTTGTGGTCAATGGCTCAATGTCCAGCTGGAGACCAGTAACGAGTGGTGTCCCTCAGGGATCGGTGTTGGGACCGGTCTTGTTCAACATCTTTGTCGGTGACATGGACAGTGGGATTGAGTGCGCCCTCAGCAAGTTTGCTGATGACACCAAGCTGTGTGGTTCGGTTGATACGCTGGAGGGAAGGAATGCCATCCAGAGGGACCTTGACACGCTTGTGAGGTGGGCTGGTGCCAACCTCATGAAGTTTAACCATGCCAAGTGCAAGGTCCTACACCTGGGTCGGAGCAATCCCAGGCACAGCTACAGGCTGGGCAGAGAAGAGATTCAGAGCAGCCCTGTGGAGAAGGACTTGGGGGTGTTGGTCGATGAGAAAATGAACATGAGCAGGCAGTGTGCGCCTGCAGCCCAGAAAGCCAACCGTATCCTGGGCTGCATCAAAAGGAGCGTGACCAGCAGGTCAAAGGAGGTGATCCTGCCCCTCTACTCTGCTCTTGTGAGACCTCACCTGGAGTATTGTGTGCAGTTCTGGTGTCCTCAACATAAAAAGGACATGGAACTGTTGGAACAAGTCCAGAGGAGGGCCACGAGGATGATCAGGGGACTGGAGCACCTCCTGTATGAAGACAGGCTGAGGAAGTTGGGGCTGTTCAGCCTGGAGAAGAGAAGGCTGCGTGGAGACCTCATAGCAGCCTTCCAGTATCTGAAGGGGGCCTATAGGGATGCTGGGGAGGGACTCTTCATTAGAGACTGTAGTGACAGGACAAGGGGTAATGGGTTAAAGCTTCAACAGGGGAAGTTTAGATTAGATATAAGGATGAAATTCTTTCCTGTTAGGGTGGTGAGGCACTGGAATGTCCAGCGAGGCTGTGAATGCTCCATCCCTGGCAGTGTTCAAGACCAGGTTGGATGAGGCCTTGGGTGATATGATTTAGTGTGAGGTGTCCCTGCCCACGGCAGGGGGGTTGGAACTAGATGATCTTAAGGTCCTTTCCAACCCTAACTATTCTGTTTCTATGATTCTATGTATTGAACAGTGAGGCTTGTCCTATTTTGTTCTGCCTAATGAGCCCTTGTTGTTACAATATTAAGCAGTACATAAGCAGAAAGACTCCCAGATATCACACTAAGGCTGACTGGTTTGAGTTGCACATTTTTCCATATCCCTCACACCCTTAAGAAGTCACAGCACCAGTATCAAAAGCAGCCACATGAAAAGCTCTTGATCTGAATGACAATGAGCCTTGACAAATGACAAAGAAAATTCAGATTCAGCAGATGCAGTCATGAAGCAACAAGCTCCTACAGGGCCTTGACCCAATCAATACCTGCTGAAACATCCAGGACTCTAGTTCTCACTGTACTACTATATTATGGATATTATAAAACATACACAAATATAGAAATTAAAAAAAAAATGATGCAAACAATGAAAGAACCACCACTAGAACAGCTGCAGAACCAAGTCTCAGTTTTGTCTGAGTCTGTTAGAAAAAAAGAGTTGTTCCAAAGCTATTATAATGTGACTACAGTACAGTTTTATCCCTCACTATAACCTATAAATTGTGATCAGTCAAGAAGCTGAACATCAGCAGGCAATATATCTGTGTTGCTTTTTAAACCGCACTTATGAATAAAGGTTTTCTACTAGATCAGTTCTTCTGCACAGTAATAATACTTAACAATCCATGTCACCCAGAGTATTTCTACTTCTGGAGTTAATATCAGATAACTTAAAATACAACAGTACACAAAGCTTTGCTTTAGAATAACTACTTGATGACTGTCTACATTCTTCTATTCATAGATATCTTCAAAGAGCACTCTGCTGCAGAGTTCACTGAATTAGGCTTTACAGCATTTTCTGCCTTGCTGCTCAAATCCTGCTTTTCACAACTTTATGGATTTTGGTTGTACTGAAAAACTTTTTGGGGGGTATTAAAAAGAAGCCGTTCAAAGTTTTTTTTCTTTTTTGAAACAGATCAGCTCTAATAATGATTTTATTTTTTTTTTTGTTCGAAATCACAGTATCAACACTGCTTGTCCCATCTCTGACAAAGTTACAGGACTGCAGGAAACAGTGCACTCAAAGGCTGCTGGCCTGGAAGCACACAGAAGTAATTTCCACCATTCAAAGACTATTTTCTCCTCTCTTATTTATAATGGGGGCTTAAATATGTTTAGCACTTAACAAAACATATCAAAGAGAAAGGCTCAGAGCCTCAAAGAGTTTACAGAACTTTAAGCTCCCAGTCCACTTTGTGGCTGGGCTGGCACTAAGCAGAAGCACACAGAAGCTACACATTAATAGCTACGCAAATGAAATGAGTAGATCACAAGTTCAAAACAGACCAAGGAAGGATATTAAAATACGGAACCTTTTTTTGCACAGGGTGCTGGGGAACATAAAAGCCTGTGCCTTAAAGCTCTTGAAGCTCTACTCTCTGACCAGCTTGAGTCAGACAAAAAAAAACCCAAACCCACAACCTAAATGAGAGTTTTCAGCCTCACACCAGAGGTGAAGAACTGCCCTAAACACACCTCTTAATCCAGGTAGCCATAACGCTGCTATTAAAGCTCTCCAACCATCACTGGCTTTTTTAGCACCCCCAGAGGCTGTTCATGGCACTTATCCCTCTTGTAACTGTAGACACAATGCTTTACTCCCCATCCCATGAAGAGGAAAGAAATAGCATAGAAAGCTAAAACACTTCCACATTTTGCCCTGAACACCAGGAATACAACTACCTATGGAAAACATACTTGCTCACATCTCTGCTTCATCTCTTACTATTCAAAAGAGCCCTTCAGTTTTGCAAATATAGAAGAAAAAGAGCATTCTCTGCTACCTCATCCAGGTCTTCTGTTTCTCATCTGCCCTCTTTCTTGCTGGGAAAGAATGCTTCACTCTCCCTTTCTGCTTCCCTTCTTTCGAAACATTATGGAACTCCTTGCTAGGTAACTTCTAACTATCAAGTTTTAAATGATTTGACAATCAGTAATAATATAATCCATTTTGCTATTCTGAGGAAGCTCTGCTCTATTAGCTATGTCTTTTATTAGATGCAATTTATGTAATAAATTTTATCAGCAACATATAGACTATCTACCTAAAAACCCCAATCCCATTATGGACATACTACAAACATCAGTTTCCAGTGATAAGTACATACCCTTAAATTAACTGGGGTATTAGGATAATGTTTAAATAGGTAATACTTGTTTTCCCCAAAAGCACAGATTCCCTTTCTCAATAGGCAAATCATTATATTTAAACAACAAACAGAAGACTTGTCCAAAGTCATTAGTAAATCAGATGATCACGCAAGCTGATAAAACACTAATCTGACCTGATCACATTGCCCCAAGCTTGCTAGAGAATAAAGCTGAGAATTCTGAGAGTATAAAGGTAGAACCTAACTACATTCAACAAGATGTCAATATAGTGGCTATATTTTGTGACTATCTTGTTGTAATAGCACTAAATACATCTGTCACCTGTTGCTTTATGGAACAAATTATTTACTGACCAGATAACCTAAAAGCAAATGCTTATTTTTCAAGTCTGCATATTCTTTGCTCACAACCCAGGTTGCTGTCATAGCAATACCTCAGCACATAAGAAGAAAGGAAAAGATTAAGTAGACAGAAATAAAGTTTAACCACAAGGTTGCAGTCTTTCAACCTTATCTTCTTAATATATCTATCTACCTGCATCTGTAAATACAGTCCTTTCTTTTCCTCATTTTACCTGTAGATGCTGGAGGTCACTGGACAGGGGAAAAGAAGGAAACATTTTCTCTATTTCAAGTACAACTAAATGAAACTAAACTCTACAAAGTAAAATAATCTCTATATGGAACAGCAAAGATAAGAGTTACAAGACACCCTTGCTTGCAAGAGAGATGTAAACTTTTTTTACTATCATAAGCCTACTAAACATAAAACATTTTTCTTTACCCATAATTATTGTTTTTTCACTTATGTGCAATCATGCCATGTGCAATCATGTCATGTACATATCATATAAAGTGCCACATGACTCATTTAGCGGATTTGGATATATGTGCAAGAACCAAACATGGTATCAGCTGTTTCAGCAGTATGTTCCCTAATGCCTACATCTCTCCATGCAACAGCACCAGTGAAACATTTATAACAGGCAACATAACCTGCCACAGAACACAAAAATAACCTGAAGTTATACTCACTGTAACCTGGGAAGCATCCATGAATTGTAGGCCAAAGTAATCAGTTTCCACAAGGTCCAAATGATATACAATCTGGTCAAACAACTCCTGTCCTTTTGCATTTTTCTGTAACAGAAAACAAAGGTTTTGGAGGTTTTTTTGTCAGTAGGTGTGGGTTTGTTTGTTTGGCTGGGTTTCTTTAAGTTCAAATAGGGAAGAGGAGATGCACAATAGAAAACAATATCTAAATAGAATTACTAATTATTCTAAAGAATTGTGCTGACATTTATTTTCTTCAAGAAAGACACAGCGACACATGGTTCCTATCTGCAGCTATTCCAATAGCATTAGACTTCACTCTCAAAGAAAACTGTCAAAGCTCACTGTAACTCAAAAGTACTGGAGAGAAAAGAAAGGCTTATATCCTGTAAGTTACAGAGCCGGCATTTTAAACCTCAGAAAGCCAAATTCTCCAGGAAAAGCTTGCTTGACATCTGCCCAAAATCTGCAGCCATGCAGTGCCACACCACCATTCCAGCTGCAACACAAATTCTGGACAGCTTGAATACCTGAGCAGCACTTTGAGGAAAATTAATGGAATTTGATAAGAATCTTTCAGTAATGTTGCTACCTGCAATAACTTTTACAACCTTTAAACAGAGAAACAAAAAAGGAAAAAAGAAAAAAGTCTACAATTCTTAATTGGCATGCCATCTGAAACTCACAGGCATGGAAACAAAACTAACCCCAGTCATGGGCTACAGAACTAGTAGAAAAGTTTGCTGATCCTAAAGGTAGCCTGTATTGGCTTGTATACTTGTTCTGAGGTTAAGTCAAGAATTTAGATACCCGGTGCTTCAACTTCAACCACTATAAGAGGCAAAGCTTGGAGGTTACAGGTGGGTAGGATTAAGAGGGAATAACAAAACAAGTTTTCATGCAAACCCTGTTGAGTTACTTAGGGAAGGAAGTTTTCAAGTTCCTGAGCACAAAACCCCCTAAAAATACATGAGATGATGATAAATCTCAGTAAAGAGACCAAAGCTACAGGCATATTTTATATAGGAAAGTACAGATCCGGAAACACTTTTGTGCCTGCTGTCCCTCATGCACCTTTGAGGTGTTTTTTTTTTGAAAGCTCTAAAATATTAGGCATTCACACTTCATCCCAAAATGCAGCAAAATTCATTGATTTCAGCTGAAGAACTGAACAGCATTCAGTTCCATTAGTCTGGTCTTCTGCACAAAAGCAGCATCAATCATAAGATGCAGAACTGCTGTCCAGGACTCCAAGCTGTCTAAAATCTGTCTTCTTCAGCAAAGGCAAGATAAAGAGTTTAATCTTACTCTATTTTTCAAAAAAGACCAAGCAAGCTTAGGTGTATATATCAAATTTTGAGGGATTTTGGTGGGTTTTTGTTTGGGTTTTTTGTTCTCTTGTTTGTTTTATACTAAGAAAGCAGAAGCACAGAAGTCAAATCTTATCAAATTTCAGGAGCAGTATTAGGGGCTCCATTAAAACAAGCTGCAATATACCTTAAATCAATCACTAATTTATCATTGTAAGGTACCGCTTGATTGATCTGGGAGGGCAAGAGACAAGTAATAGACATTCTTAAAGAAAGTGAGAATACAACAGCTCCTTATAGCAATAAATTCTTAAGAAACTATCATCTTTAGATGTACAGTTAACTGCTATAAACCAAAGTTTGCTAAAAAGTATTCAGAACACATTTTCTGATATGCAGTCAATAACACAACAGCATTTAAACTCACTCTGCTCAAAGGAGGAGAAAACCCTTCAAAGCAATAAAAAAGAAATAGCAAGACATGAGAAATACATAAAACTAGGAACAACTGATTTGATCTCTCTATGATCAAATGATCATGATCTATGATCTCTCTACTTCTGGTTGCTTGCTTTATGGCATTAACTATCAGTATGTTTATCTTCGACTGCCACACACCCAATAGAAACCAGAAGGAGCACACTCCACCTTCTGTACTCAAATACTAGTTAATGTTCAACATGTGTGTTACACAGAGAATAGCTCTGTACGGCATGGCTAGGCCATAAAATGCAATATTACATACACAGTTTACAGGAGATTATAACATTTAACTTGTCGCTAAATGAGCTTTCCCAGCAGCTCATACTGCTTAGACGATAAAGCAAACTGCTGACAAAAAACTTTCTTTGAAATGTTACACTAAAAGGGGAGATAAAAGTGACTAATGCCTTTCCTCTACTAACAGTAAGGGATGACCTGTTCTCCTTCATTCTGCCTCTTCACTGTGTGACAAGCTAGGGAGTCAAACTGAGAAATGATAACTTGGTACCTGTGCATCGAATTAAATGCTATATAACTGCATTTAATATAACTGGTATAGGCAAAATAGAAGGGTTTTTCCTCAGGAATTGCATATGGATGAATAAAAGTGGTCCCTAATAGAAAAAATGTCCTTATTATAAGAAACTTCTGATCTTCACGGTCTCTTCCTCCTAGATAACAAAGAAGATAAAAAAACGGTTCCTCTTTCAAAATCTGGTACCATATAAAGAACGTGAAACTGATTTCATACAAGAAAATTCTCTGAGTTGGTCTAATCTGTTGGAATTTAACAAATCACAGTTTCTCTACAGACCTTCAAACTGTGCACATTTTTTGAAGAGACAGCTGAAAATACCCAGCTTTAAACTATTTTACAGTCATACCTTGCTAGACAGATGGTTCAGAACTGTCAGATGAAAAAGACAAGTGTAACTTAGCTATTAAAAAAAGGGAGTAGATGGCAACAAACAATATATGTCTACTTCTCTGGGTAACCTGTTCCAGTGCCTCACCACCCTCACAGTAAAGAACTTCTTGTATTTAATCAATCTGTAATCTAAGAAAAGGTGTTTCATGTCAGTCACCCTGTACTGCCTGATAGTTGTGCTAGTTTCCTTCACTCTGTAACCTAGAAACCTTTCTTAAATACCCCCTCCCCTCACCCTTTCCCCATCAGATTTTCTTTGGGACCATGAAGCATCAAAGAAAATTCTTACATTTAAGGAGAACTTATTGCAGGGTCCTCCAACAAGGACCCAAATCGGCATCAGTATAAAGCACCACACAGAGTCACAGCGACAGCTGCATGGCCCACATTTCAAGTGGGCTAAATTTTTAGCTGTCAAAGACTTCCAGTCTCAGGGAATCTGTGGAAATTCTTGTCAGCTAAAACCTGACAAAACAAAGATTAACTTCTCTAATCAGAAACTCTTCCAGACTTGACATGTGAATAGGCAACTGGTTTTAACATGCTTTTGGTGGGCATGAAGGGCAAATTCATTAGCCAGGGACATCTTATACCAACTGGCTCTGTCTAAACAGGCTGATCATTGTTGATTTTAGCTATTCCAGAGTTGTTTGACAGCTTTTTGCCAAAGGGCATGAAAAGGAGACATACAAGGCAGAAATGTCCCATTTTAGAGCAGCTAGAGTGCAAGAATGCTATCGACCACTCTCAAAGCACACACAGCAAAGCTGGAGAGCTTCTCCATACATCTTCCCCAAACGGAAGTATATGTGGCAACCAAGCACAGTGCATTACGTGAACCCAAGTGGAGTGGCTGTATTTATCGAGTCATACTAGAGAGCTGAGGTCACAGTATTACAAACTAACTATTAGCAGATTTCAGAAACAGGTGAAGTTGTGCTTGTTAAAACAACTTGTCAAATATGCCAGGAGGTACACGAAATAGCCTGCAAGTTGACAAATGATAGAAAAAAAAAAAAATAAAAGAAAATAAACTACTGCCAAGAAAAAGGTCAAAGCCAATTAACTGTAATGTGTCCCAAACTGAACAGGGAATAGCAGGATGTAGCAGGAACGAGTAGGTAGCGTAGCTTTAGATTCTTTTTCTAAAGAAAACACAGGATCATGTATTCTGCAATACATAAAATATTTTTTCAGAGTGGGCTGCTATGATCTCATGGCCACAAACACCAGGTTTTAGATTCTAGTAAGTTACTAAAGGAGCATTTGTAGCTAGCGATTCTCTGCTCCACAACTGCTCTGACACATCAGCATTTCCTCTCCCAGGCATTTCCTGGAACATGGTCGCTAAGTATATTCTGCTCAGTCCTCTTAAACCTGAACTGTTATTAACTCATTTTTCAAACCTCTAACTAAGGCTTTATGTGCTGGCCATATTGCTTAGTAGCAAGAATTTGCCCTGCTTTTTAAGAGTCATTGGCAAAGTTGTTTCCCAGCATTTCAGATATACTACAGGCTAAACATGATTAAAGCCACCCGGGCTTCTAACTAGTCTCAACTCCTGGTGCTTGTTACCAGCTGTCCTTGCTGAGGTACTCAACTTTTTTTGCCTCAGTCTTCAGCAGCACATGGTCTAGTCACATGGCAAAGGCAGGGACTGGGAGAACGAAGAACCATCTGCTATAAAAGATGAGGTTTGAGACCACATCAGGAACTTGAGGGTACACAAGTCCAGGGGACCTGATGAGATGCACTCATGGGTCCTTGGGGAACTGGCAGATGAAGTGGCTAAGCCACTATCCGTTGTATTTGAGAAGCTGTGGAAGTCCGGTGGAGTCCCCGCTGACTGGAAGAAGGGAAACCTCCATTTTTTAAAAATGGAAAAAGGAAGATGCAGGGAGCTACAAGGTGGTCAGTCTTCCCTCAGTGCCTGGCAAGATCATGGAACATGTCCTGAAAACTATGCTAAGGCATGTGGAAAATAAGGAGGTGATCAGTGACAGCCAACATGGCTTCACTAAGGAAATCATGCCCTTAGTGAAAAATTTGGTGGCCTTCCATGGCAGGGTGACAGAGTTGGTGGATAAAGGAAGAGCAACTGATGTCATCTACCTGGCCTTGTGCAAGGCATTTGACACTGTCTTACGAGACATCCTTGTCTCTAAACTGATTTGATGGATGGACCACTCTGTGGACAAGAAATTGGCTGGATGGTTCACCCAAAGAGTTGTTGTCAGTGTCTTGATATCTGGTTGGAGACCAGTAATGAGTTCCCTCAGGGGTCAGTGTTGGGACTGATCCTGTTCAACATCTTTGTCAGTGACAGAGACAGAGGGATTAAGTGCACCCTCAGCAAGTTTGCTGAT